GGTTTTCAAAGTCCCAGATTTGCCACCCATAACCTATCCTAACTCAGTTTTCCTAGGCAGTAAGATGCAGTAGATAAGTATTGCTTCTGTGGTGTGAGGAGACTAAGTCAACTTCCATGAACAGTGATCATTAAGAGGAGAAAAAAAACCAAACCAAATAACACATTCAGCTCATCATTCAAAGATCTGTGATCTGCTGAAACTGTAAGGCTAAAAGCCTGATGATTTTCGCAGGAATGGAGATAAGGAGTTCTCCTGAAGGGCCTTTGATTCTGGGGCTGACCTTCCCTCTCTTTAGTCCTCCTTACAGCACAGACTGTCTTATCTTCAAAATGTATTCAAGCACTTACCTTTCCAGCTTTTTGGCAGTGGTAATTAATCAGATTTTTAAGATTTATCTCTGGTGATATGGATCATATTGCTAAGTTGAACATCCCTATTAATAATGGTTTACAATACTTCTGTGTCCAGATGGACACATTATAAGTGCAAACAAATAATTGCCATTTGTGAATATAAGCTGCATAGAGATTCTCCTTTGTGTTTTGCATTTTTATGTACATATTTGACTCCTGCAAAATACTGGACTGAAAGATTGTAATTTACTTAAGACCAACATAGCACACTGCAGCTTTCCATTTCAGAATGCTTTAACTTGGTTTTCATATTGCCTGCACTATTTTTAGAAAAATACTGAAGTGTCTTCCTCTTGGCTTAGATACCCCTGGTCTTCCCTCTTTTCCTTGAGCATGATAAACCATAAAGTTGTAAAGGACCTCTGACTGTGAAAAAACTCAAACACTAGCTCCTGAAATGTATTTTTCCAAAAATAACTTTTCTTATTTTTCTAGTTGTTATGTTGGTAATAGAAACTATTTCTAGAGTTTGAATCTGGGTTGTTACCAGGCTTCTGAGCTTTGGCCTGAGTCATCCTTTTCAGTTATCATTTTACGTAGACTGGGAATTTGTCATTCATCCTGTTCAGAAACAGTGAAAAGACTAGACAAGCAGCTTCTGAACAGCACTTGATTCATCTTTTGCTGGGTCTTTACACTGTGAGGAGCACAAACAAGGACTAGGGTTGAGAGAGTACGGATGGTGTGGAGGACTGTTAAAGAGGAATTCGTTGAATACAAGAGGGTTGGACAGGCCTTCTGCAGGACTGGGCTTTGATTCCCAAAGAGTCCTTAGCTGTATGAAGACTGAGGTCAGCAAGCTAGTCTGACCAAGGAAATCAGTCTGCAGCAAGTTACATTTGAAAGTATGATGCAGTGGAAACCCTACTCTAACTACGTATTCAGTATTTAAAGAAGCAGTAGTCTCCTTTGATTTCAATGCAAAATAATTTATCTTATGGGAAGACACCCTCACCGTATGCTCAGATGTCTGCACAGAGCACTAGAGTGGATGCCTAACTTCCCATCGTGTAAAGAAGAGTTGCATCTCCAGCCTCCTCCACAAACCCTTCTCCTATAAGAGAAGGTCTCTGAAGAACCCTGTGTGGGTCCCTTTACAAAGTTTTTTGTACTCTTCACCTTTTATAGGGCTTATTGAGACTATGAAATAGCATAGATATAATCTCAAGCAAGCTGGGTAATATGCCTAATTCTCTACTGGTTTGAGTCCTGTGTAGTCATTGATACCTCCACAAAGAGAGTGCCACTTAAGAATTCTCCACTTTCCTACAACAGTGATAGGGTTTTCCAATCACTTGTGTGCTTTACAGAAGAATAAATGAGTGAACAGTGTGTGCAACGCAAGAGAAATTCACTCTTTTTTTTTTTTTTTTTCCCTGCTGTGTGAGAGAGAGTCTGTGGGCCAAAATCTAGACCATTTCCACACTAGAAAACTAGGGATAAATATGCTTATATAATTGCAGTTTCCATACAAGTTAGGACTTGACTCTACTCTTCTTATAAATTATGACCCAAATCAGGATATGAGTGGTTCATATAAGCAGAATCACTTGTAATGATGGTTTAAATTATTTAAATTTGTGTTCCTTCATACAGTATTTAAAAATATAGTTAATCCAGTCTGTCATCAAATGACTTTTGTGTCTGTTTTATTTCATTTTTGATAATTTCTTTTTCTTCATTTAAAATAACTCATGTTTATTTTAATACAGCAAGCTAGGATCAGGCCCTCCATATCCAAGAAGCAAATCATTCTCTCTTGGAAAAGTCAGTGTGTGGGCTTCTTCTATGATTTCTTACTAGAAAACAGTAGAAACAGTATCTGCTACCGTGAGCAGTTGAAGCCCTGTTAAAGATATGACAATACAGCTTAACAGGATTGGGACTGTAGTTCACCAGGAGCAACAAATCTTGTTGATCTTCCGAGGTCATTTGTAGTTACTGTATTTGAATTTCCTTTCATGAGGTTAGGGAAGCACTGACACTGCTTCAGCTGCTGATTAAGGTGGGAAGGCAATGGGAGCTTCAGCTGAACTTTCCTTTCCTGGGTTGCTATTAGCTTTTCAAAACCAGGATATTAACAACCTCTCCAAAAGGTCTAAACATTGTTTTGGCATGTAGGTGACTCCTGCTGAGGATGCTTTCAAACAGGAGAATATGTATATGCAGATAAACAGGAATTTGTCCATACAGAGAGTAAACTGGTGCTTCTGTGGTGCAGAGGGATGGTGCAGAGCCAAAGTTTTATAGCTCCATGCATCCTGTGCATACACACATAGCTTTTACATAAAGAGACAAAGATATCTTTATCCGCACGACAGATAGACAGACTGACTGACTTCAAACTTGCACTTTCAGTAGGGATTTTTTCCCCCCATCTCCGGGTACTGCTTTTCAAAATTGCCTGAGGCTACAGTACAGCACCTCAGATCCCCAAGGCCCATTGCCTGGCTCCTAATAGCCACTCTCCATCTGTGTCACATGAACAGCTGATGAGATAGCTCCAGTGTCTGTATTTTGGAGAGCATATCCACCCAGGTTAAAATGCTGGGGTTGCCAAGGAGCAGTCAGAAGCCATTAGTGTTTGTGAGAATTTGCCTTGCAGCAGTTTCTTGGCATAGTGGAAAGTGTGTGTGTGTGTGTGTGTGTGCGTGTGTGTGTGAGAGAGAGAGAGAGAGAGAGAGCGGGTAGGGTAGAATATGTGGGGGGAAGGGGGCAACAGAAAGGAGCGCTTTCGAAATCACCAACATCTTGCAAAAGTGAACAGTTGGTTACAGTGTACAGGGCTTCCATAAGCTCTTCGATTAGTTTGCTGTGATTCAACTCTCCTTTCTCTATTGTTAACAGAAACAAACACAGAAAAAAAAAAAAAAGCATCATGAGAAAGAGAGCAGTGACTTCAGGGTCTTGCTCTGGTGTTTGGGCAGATGGAAAGGAGCTGCTCTGCCTTGGGGCAGGGTGGTTGTAATGAAGTGGCCTGTCAGTCTGTAAATAGTGAGGGTCATCTCTTCCATGTGATGGAGGGTATCACATTGCAGTGAAAATGGAAATGTCAATAAAATTAATCTGCCAGCTCTTTGCTGTGGCTTTTTCTGTCTCTCTGGTCCAAAAGGGTTGGTTTTTCAGAGGTGAGGCAGTGGAAGAAGGGTGATGTGGCACAGGAGGGAAGATGGAGCTGAAATGCGAGTTTTGAAGCAAATGGGCTGTATGTAGCAGCAACGTATTTCGTTTAGAAGCACTACAGAGCTAAACAAGGCTGTAGGAATTAGCTCGTGAATCTATAGCATTCCTCAGGAAGCTATGGACCGTCTAGCTCAGGCTACATTGAGCACAGAGTTTATTGTTTTAGGCTTTCTTGGACAAGGTTTTTACTTAGTATGGGATTTATGGCATTTACTGCTAATGAATGTCTATTCTTAAATTACAAAAACCACCATCTCAGCACAATTCCCAGATGTCCTTCCAGGACCTCGGCTTCTTAAACACCAGCAGGGAGCATAAACTCTCCACTTCTCTGTTTTCCTCTTTCGTGTGGCTCCGGGCTAATGATGTGTAAGGAAAACACAGCAATCTATAAAGTCTCAGTGCTGTCCCAGTATTCTTCATTTATTTTGCATTTGATTATGCCACAAGTCGGATCTTGTTTCTTTCCTTTTTTTAAAGTTATTAGTTCAAATATTAATGTAGGAATATGGCATATATTGCTGCTCTTGATTGATGCCTTCCCAAAAACAGGAAGACGTGCTCGTATGAATTTTAAGAAAGTAGGGGTCCTGCAATGCCTTGCCAGAAGAGTTTTTCAGATACATAATTTAGATGCCCTCCAGGCAGGCTTTCAAGGCATTTTTGCTGGAGGGCAAGAAAAAATAACTATGACTGTTAAAAGTAAATGATTTTTGCTAATGCACAATTAATGCCGGGGAAAAGCACAGAAGAGAAAGATGTTGATGGAAAGTTCTGATTAAGTGAGAGCTCTACCTTGATGTGCATCTTTTTTTTTTTTTTTTAATGATAATAATCACTGATGCAGAGATGTAAAAGTTTTCATGTCATGCAAATGCTATAGGCAGGGTCATGCTAGGTGTACGTGTTTGTGCGTGCGTGTGGATGTGTGTTGGGAGGGGCTCTGACAGTGTGTTATGTGCACTGAACGGTGACATGGTTACTGCCACCTCTGCAGAGGGCCTCGAGTAGATAGACTACAGAACATTTAACTTGATTACTTATAGTGTGTATTCAGAATAGTTGTAGGAATGCGTTTGCGGTGAATGGGGTTTTTCGTGGCAGGTTTTCCCACATTGAATCCCATAATTGACAAAGAGCTATTGCACTATGTCAAGCACACAATTATAATTGAATTAATGATATATGCATGCGTGAAACACTAAATTAGGATTTGGAGAGGCGTGGTTTCTAATTTTTACATATTAGTATCAGCCCTCATATATAATGAGAAACTGTATGTGTCTGATCTAGCAAATCAAAATAAAAGTGTGGTGGTGTCTTGGTAACTAATGATACTTTTTGGTTTCTCTATTTTGTTCATTAAACATCTCCCCCTTTCTGTTTTTCTCTTTGTTGTAGGAGATGGTTTAGACAACAGTGTAGCCTCACCTGGTACAGGGGATGATGATGATCCAGACAAGGACAAAAAGCGTCAGAAGAAAAGAGGCATTTTCCCCAAAGTAGCAACAAATATCATGAGAGCGTGGCTTTTCCAGCATCTCACAGTAAGTGGTGCCCATACCAAAATAGGTTTCTATTCATGTGCCTAATGAGGTTTTATTCATTGTTATTAGAAATCAATTGTCCCCATAATTTTTAGACCATTATTAAGGCTCAATTGTTCTTGCTTTTAAATTATTTTATTCTAGAGTTTTTTCATTGGCTCTTGGAATCATGACAAGTCTGAAAGAAACATACAATATATATATATATATATGGAGATTTTATATACACACATACATGCCTAGAGAGAGAGAGAGTACAAAGCCTTAGCATGGAACATAAGAAGTAACCATTTTTTGCTTTGAACCATTCAAATGTTCCTAAGGACAGAAAAAAAGGGTTTCTTGCTTTAGCATATATGAAGCTCTGCCTTCTGGATATTTAATTGCTGGCCTCTGTTTATACAAACTTCATATGTGTGTGGTGGAAGAGAGCCCCAGTTTGCGTGTGCTGACATACACTGTGGATGTCAGAGAAGTGAAAGCAGCAGCTTGCAAACTTGTCATTGTTACTTTTTGTAAGAAATATAGAAGGCTTACAGGTTCCCCAATTCTTTATTTGCATAACAGAGAGAGTAAGCGCCTTTTTAGCTTCTCTTAAAGTCTATTATATTTAAAGCTAACAATATTCACATTTTGGGGAGAGAGATTAAATATGTGAAAAAACAATGCTTTCCATGGACTATCTTGATCCTCCTGCTTGCAACTGGTTTTATGCGTTAGTGTCCTGTTCACTATTATAGCTTCATTTTGGCATCAAAACACAGTTCCACAGAAAACCTGGTAATGCTCTTTGTATTTTACTTCATGTGGGAAATAATGGAAACTGGTAAAATTATCAATTGATTTCCCTCTTCTTCTCATGGTAAAATTGTTTCTCACTTGATAAGACTTAAAATGCTAACTGTTATTAACTACCTCTTCCTCTACCAAACTTTTATAAATTTCCACGGTAGCTGCTGTTGGCTACAGTGTAATGATTTCAGGACAAGGTACCCAATCTATTTATGAGAGGGACTATCGAACTGCTCTGCTAGCAGCACAGCTAAAGGGGAGAGCAATAGATCCACATTTTTAAACCATCATTTTGATGTAAGGACATTAGTAGCAAACTAAGGTGCATTGATCTGGCCTGTGGGGTCAGGATTAGCTGGAATAGCCAGTGTCTCTGCTGGAGTAGTGGTTATTCCTGCCTCCCAGCTATGGCCATTTCAAAGGTCAGGTGCCCTGTATCCACTTGGCTCAGAGGAATTAGACAGAACATGAGTCTCTGGGCTGATTACTTAACCAAAGACAAAATAATGAGTCCTAAGCAAATACTGACTAATTGAAAGGGCTGTAAATCCATTACATATTGGTCAGGGATAATCAGGAGTATTTAATCACTTTTATCTATTCAGGAGCACTGAAGCTGCAACAGCAAAGCCCTGAACCTTGCCATGTGCTTATTATTCTCATCATTATCAAAATTACTTCACAGCTGTTCTTTGCTACATCACCTCAGCTGGAGATTTACTAACCTGTAAAATGTTTTTAATTTGGAAGTCGAGTGAGTGTGAGTGGAGGGATTTTCATTTAGCTGTAGGGTATCTTTAGAGGAGTAGTGCAGGCAGACAGCAAAAAGCAGGGCCACAAATAAACCAGTTTGTTTTGTACATGTCGCCATGTTAACTCAATTCCCTCTTATGAAATTTGTGATTTTTTTTTTTCTCTCTGCCTTCCTTTCTCACGTGCTCCCTGAAAACATTTGACACACACTTATTAAAAAGTCAGCTGCCTCTACTTCTCTTGAGGAAAGTCCTCCTGGCTTTTGGAAATCCCTTTTCCTTATTTTCATCCTCTCTCTCCTGATCCTCTCTATCCTGCATGAATTACAGGAAATTTGCCATTACTGGTGAGGATGGCCTCACAGAAATCAAATTAAATGAACACAAAAAAGCCCCAAACCTTTTATTATCCAAGCTTTAATGAGTTTGCAGGTGTTGAAAGGTTTACTGTGCTGTAATTCTCAGACCTGCAAACTGATAATGGAGACCCCTGACCAGTGCAATGTAAAATCAGAAAGATTCTTGCCATAAACACATGCAGGGAAGGAAGAGAACTCCTTTCTTTTAAAGATCTCACACTTTCTCAAATTAGCTTGTCCATTCAAAGCGTAATGCTGTCTGAGCAAGAAAGAGGGAGAACGAGTGAATCTGTGATGCAATTTTATTGTTTCAAGTAAATATCTTTACAATGGTGGTCCATGATTCAATGTACATTCCTTCATTACTACTCTAACCTTACTTCAAATTGGTTTGTTCCTCCTTTGTGCTGTATGACCTGTTCTTGTATTCCAATAATCCCCTGATGTACTCTTTTCTCCCTTCTCTCTCTTTTTTATTTTTTTTTTTTTATTTTAAGAAACTAATTGAATTATCTCATTATTTTAATTTGTTAAGCAAATGTATTTTACATCTCAGGATGTGTTCTTAAAGAAGGAGCTGCTTAGGCTTTGCCCCCTGAATGGGCCATTGGTACATTTTGACATTCATGCATTCATTAAGGAGAGGAACATAAAAGAGCTCTGGTTGTATTTTTTTTTCAAACACCCAACCAGCATGGAGCAACTTTTCCATAAGCCACAGGGGTCTCTCTACATATGTTCTCAACTGCAAGCCATTGTCACCTATTATGAATACCTCAAAAGGACAAATAAAATACTAAAGGCCAACTGTAGCAATTGTTAGCTGTTAGTCTCAATATGACAAAAATCATTAACCTCTGGTTTCCCTGGAAGGAGAGGCAGTGACAGTTCATCTCTTATGGTGTGGATTAAACTTGAAATTCCTCTAGACTGCCAAATTCAAAGAGAGTAACTCAGTTATGACTAATTGTATTTACTTATGATTTTAAATAAAATGCTGTTTTTCTTTTATTCAATCAGTTTGCAAACTCCTAAGGTAGCTGATTTAAAAAATTGAACAGCCTAAGTGGTTTTTCTGAAGAGATAGGCACTTGAACGCTGATGTAGAATGAATGCATCTGACAGGCTATTTCTTTCAAAACAATTTCTAACCCCTATCACAGCTTCCATTTTACAGTAACTTTAATTATATTTGAAATAGGATACACATGCATGTTTTTATTGTTGGAAATCAAATGCCAGGAGTAGGAGCTTCTGTTATGTTCTTGTTCACTTACTGAGCTCTGTCTTACATTTGGAATTACAACAGTACCAGAAGATGAAAGATCTGAGGGTGACTTGGTTGGAAATGTGTATGCTTTTTCTGGATAATATCCAGTGTTTAAGAAAGTAGAGGAAATCCTAGTCTGCTAGTATAAGCTTTTCAATAGTACATAAAGATTACGACATCAGAAAGGTAAACCTGACATTAGGGCTGTTTTTATTTGAGTTCAAAGGTGGTTAAAGAAAAGAAACAGCAAGAAATCCGACCCAAGTCAAGAGTTTATTCATAGCTTTGGAAGACTCCTTTTCCTCTATGCCGAAGAGTCCTTAGTACACTCAATTAGCCTCTCAGGCATCTCTGCTTTCCTCCCTGAAGTGCTCCCCCATTTGCCCTGCAAAGAATACATTTGATCACGAAGTGAAAACAGGAAGTGCTCTAATGTGTAGACACCTCTAGCTTACACCAATATTGAGATTAGGATTTCTTACCAGCAACTATACAGAGCCAGTCCCCCTCCTCCCATGGCCTTTTGAAGGACGGAGGACCTTTAAAATGTATGTACATAATCAGAAGAGAGCAAAGTCATAAAGGAAGTAATTACACAGCTCTATGGACTTGTACCTCTGTTAGTTCATCCCTTTCTGCAGCATAGTGTATCAAGGACTACACTTGTTACATTCAACATTTTTTTTTCTCCCTCTTTTACAGAGCTGGTAGAACAGAGACACGTTTATTCTTTGACACTTACCTGGAGTGATGCCCTTTATTAAAATTCCTTTTTGGGTATTTCTTTTGTTAAAGACTGTAATAAGGTGTATATCTTAAATAAAAGTACGAGATATACCAATGGTAGCCTGCAAACTAAACCTTTTTATGAGAGTGCCAGATTCCCACCTGATGATATTTAGAATGACTCCTGTGAAGTCGGTGGAGTTAAACTGAGGTTTCGGGGGTTTTTTTCTTTTTTTTTTTTTTTGCTAGCTGAAGGTCTGTCTCCTAACATTTGTTTGAACTGTGTCATTTTAGCCTGATTTCCACAATCTTTTATGATTCTATAATATCTTGCTCTTGACACAGTCTTTTGCAGAGTAGGTTTTTAGTTTCATCTACTTCAGTGTCTCACTAGAGTAAGTTCTGCTGGAATGTGTTAAAATGAACCAGTCAGAGCTTTGGTACTTACCCAAAATAATTTTCTTGCCATATTCAGGTAGCCAGATTAGATAATATGAATAGTCTTACTGAAAGAGATTTTACTATTTTTATATATTTACGTGAGTGTATCTCAGAATATAATGTCTTTCTGTCCTATTTTTATGAATGACTTAGAAAGCCTTGTATATAGGGCAACTATTTTATTTATTCACTAGATTTGATTCTAGAGATGAATGTCGCCAATCAAAGCTGGCCTTGGAGCAAGCTTTCAAAACAGTTGAAACCATCCCACCCTCATAAATATCTCCTCCCACATGGTGATTTTAGGAATAATACCTAAAGGAGGGTTAGGAACACAGCTGGCTATTACACTCCACACTGAACAGCTTACTCACATATCAGACAGTAGAAGAACAGCTTTCCTCTGAGTCCCGATACAGGAGGAGCGCTCTTCACATCGCTGTTCTTGCTGTACTTTAAAAAAACAAAACTGAGAATACAACAGGCCTTTGTCCAGTTAAAGTGCTGATAAGAAGGCTTGGAAACTCAAGAAAATATAGGGTTGTGAACACATTCTGGTGAATTTTAGTGCTTGTGTTGGACTGCATTGTAGCATGTCTTATACTCCCAGGGTACACTGAGGAGATGGACGATGTCCTCTGATTCTCCTGCAAAATGACC